AATTTTTTTTTTTTTGACCGCAATTTTATAAACAAGAACGATATCATACAGTTCTTCATTTACTGATGACGGAGTCGGTGTGATGACCCTTTTTAAGGTCAATTTTAAACTTTAAATTGGATAATATTTAATTTGCTTACATTTGATTGCAACAATGTCTTGTAATTAATGGATACATTACGAAATTAATGCTACCTTTCTTGTTACAGAAGCAAGAAACGATGAACAATGTTCATCATTATTAAATCATTTAGCCCAAAATATTCCCGAGCATCACCGTACTACTCTTCATTTTCTTATGGCACACTTCTGTAGAATATGTCAAATGGAATACGCCCGAGGAAATAAAAATCCCCCCACTCAACTTATACAAGTTATGTGCCATATTCTTTTGCGACCGCCTTGGGAAAGAATAATGTAAGTTTGTGCTGGATTTTGCTGGTGAATTTGGTTTTCCTACCTTTTACTTTAATTTCAGTCAAGTAGTTTACAACACCCAAGCACACAATAGAATTGTAGAACTTCTTCTCTTATCATGTGATTGGAACGAGACTCTTCCTGAATTTGCTTCAGCTCCTGCAATACCTCCACGAAAAATATCGAAGGTGGGCTCGAGTTTATATTCAACGAGCATGGATAAAGATAAATCTATTAGTTCAAGTTTACACGATGCTGAATGGTATTGGGGAGATATAACACGAGAAGAAGTCAATGAAAAGTTAAACGATACCGTCGATGGTACGTTTTTGGTGAGAGATGCATCTAATAAGGGTGGGGAATACACATTAACGCTCAGAAAAGGTGGAGCTAATAAACTCATTAAAATATGCCATCGTAATGGGAAATACGGTTTTACCGAACCGTACCTGTTCAATTCAGTCATCGATCTAATAAACCATTATCGCCACGAATCCTTATCTCAGTATAACGCTTCCTTGGACATTAAACTCCTATATCCCGCCTCGAAATACAACCAAGAAGATGAAAGCGCTTATACTGAAAATATAGAGAAGTTAACAGCAAGTCTACTAGAAGTTAACAAAAGACTGAACGATAAAAATAAGCAGTTAGAAACATATACGGAGGATTTCAATAAGACGTGCAAAGAAGTGCTTAGCAAGAGACAAGCTCTTGATGCTCTTAGAGAGCTAGTCAAAGTATTTGTCGAGCAAACTAAGATGCAAGAGGCGTTTCAAAAGGAAGCTCAGCCGCATGAAGTTAAGAACCTTATCGATAACGCGGAAGTTCTTAAACAGAGATTGAAAGCTATGGAGGAAAGTTGTGAACAATTGGATGAAAATTTGCAACAGCGCGAAGCGTACAATCGATCTTTAGAACGAGAACTGACATCACTCAAACCTGTTATTCGTGATTTGATAAAGGAACGCGAAAAATATCAACGGTAAGTTCAAGTTAAACTTAGATGCCGCCTTTTCCACCTAAATATTAAGTGGTAGATGTTTGTCTAAATCATATTTTTCATTTTTCCAGGTGGCTTGTGCAACGAGGGGTTAAACAGAGTCGTATACTGCAGCTTTTAAACAGCGAAGAGGAAAGCGATGGAACAGACCTAATGGAAGAGTGTGATATAGAAAATCTACCACACAACGATGAAAGTACGTGGCTGTTATTGGATTGTTCTCGTTTAAAAGCGACGGAATTGTTGACGGGTAAACCGGACGGAACTTTTTTAATTCGTATTTCTTATACTCAGAAAAACCAGTACGCCCTTTCAATAACGTGCAATGGTACGGTTAACCATTGTATAATACAGAAAACTGTAAGAGGATTGGGATTTTCAGAACCGTACAACATATACAGTTCCTTGAAATCTTTAGTGTTACATTATGCTCAAAATTCGTTAGAAATTCATAACGATTCGTTAAATACTACTTTGAGGTATCCGATTAAAGTAGTCAGTAACTCCAATGATTCGAACAGAGCGTATAGTTAAATATAAGATTAAATTGTGATGGTAAATCTTAAGGACATGTTTTTTAAATTTTTTTATGTGATCACAGACTTTTATTTAATTGACTGAGAATTCATCAAGTGGCGTAATTATGTGGTTATACTTTTAAAACAATTTCATCTCATAAACACCATGCAACTGACTGTGATAGTGTAATGAACGAAGGTTTTCCGCCAATAGTGAAAAGTCTTTGTGTTAGTGACAAAAAGGAAACGAAAATGGAGTTACCCACAACTTGTACTACTACTATTACTACTACTTCTACTACTTCTATTATTACTACTACTACTGCTGCTGTTGCTGCTCCTACTTAATACAGAATACGATGCATTTTTTATATCTTTGTGTGTAACGTTAAAAAGCTGTTTTAGTGTTGTTAGCATATGAAAAATATACATGAAGAAAATGTCAGAAAATCGAAGTCACTGTTTCGTGATCCTTTTAAAAAAAGTTGCCTTTGATGTCCTTTCGGCTTATTTTCTCCTTAACTTCAAATAACAATGAAAGCGATGTTTTTAAAGTGTGTTTATAAAAATGTATTAGTAACTGGTAATCGTAAATAATTTGAATAAGGAAAACATAAACAAAATAATGGATTTATGATATTCTAATCACATACTGAAATAAGAAGAAGAAAAGGAGAAAGATGCTGACATTACTTTGCAAAGTAGATAAAAAATGTGCGTGTTACGCACAAGATGAGTGATTGAGTTGACACTTAATCGTCCTGTCACATCTGCTTGTGATGTAGACATTTCTGTGCAAAAGTAACCAAATTTGAGATGATTTTCGGATATATGTCTGTCTGTTATGGAAAGAAAGTGTGAGTTCTGGGTATTATATTTTAGTACTGATTGGAATTTTTTTCATTCAAAGTCTTGCGATGTAATGAAATGAAAGTTGAGAATATGATGAAGTAAGGTATCTTCCGTCGAACCTAATATATGCAGTTGTCACAAATTGGCTTTATTTATATATGAGTACAAATGTATTTTATAGAGTTTTTATTATAATATAATGATGAATTATAATAATATATTATTTGCAAGTACCTAAATTTGTTTGTGATAAAATTTGTGTACTTAGATGTCATCTTCACAATGAGGTGTACTTTTAATTATTAAAAAAGAAAATGTTATAAATATATTTCATTTTANGACATTACTTTGCAAAGTAGATAAAAAATGTGCGTGTTACGCACAAGATGAGTGATTGAGTTGACACTTAATCGTCCTGTCACATCTGCTTGTGATGTAGACATTTCTGTGCAAAAGTAACCAAATTTGAGATGATTTTCGGATATATGTCTGTCTGTTATGGAAAGAAAGTGTGAGTTCTGGGTATTATATTTTAGTACTGATTGGAATTTTTTTCATTCAAAGTCTTGCGATGTAATGAAATGAAAGTTGAGAATATGATGAAGTAAGGTATCTTCCGTCGAACCTAATATATGCAGTTGTCACAAATTGGCTTTATTTATATATGAGTACAAATGTATTTTATAGAGTTTTTATTATAATATAATGATGAATTATAATAATATATTATTTGCAAGTACCTAAATTTGTTTGTGATAAAATTTGTGTACTTAGATGTCATCTTCACAATGAGGTGTACTTTTAATTATTAAAAAAGAAAATGTTATAAATATATTTCATTTTATGATTTTTTTAAGTCAAAAAACCCAGCGCTCGGTTGTAACTTAACGGACGTACTTTTTGTTTTTATGAAAGTACTGTGTTGTCTCAAAACGATTTTCTTGTAGATGTTTGTATTTGCTTCTATTTACAATGGCTATTTCGATTGAATGTTTAAAACATCCTACTAGTTATCAGTAAGTTTCAAATTGTGATAGTTTTATATATAATTGTAACAATAAATTATTTAAATTGATTTGTGTTGCATTATTTACAACTAATCAGATTTCAAAGGAATCAAAAATAGAGAAAAGTGGGAATTCTGTTAGTTAAGCATGGACATAGAATAATTATACTAAAAAAGAAGATTTATTTAAAAACCAGGCCAAGATTATCATAAATGAAGGGAAAATAAAAATAAAGTCTATTTTTACTTACAGAACAAACATTTCAGTGGCGGCACATTAACCCTTTGATATAACAATTTTATTGTAAAACATGAATTCAGCATATGCAACCGGTTAAGCACGAGTGTAATGTGTGCTGTGGATGTTTCAAAATTTTGCTTTTTGTGGGATGAA